GCGGTAACCGGAGGATCGTTAAAACTGCGAGTAAAAATCATTCAACCGCGGTCAATTTCGAACCAAGGACAAAGATACCGCCTGTCACCGGTCACAATCTTTTCTACCGGCTCGCCCGGTCGAAGGTTAGATAAGGCCGGTCACAATCATTTCAATCCCTACGCTTTCCACCGTAAGAAATTAGATATTTTATGAGAACTTTTAGGTAGAACAATTGGTAGCCTCCTATATAGAATTTTTCATAGGTTTCGAGTTTGAAGTCAAACCACTACCCTTTCTTTCTGAGCTGGGGTTTGACCCAGTCCTTGTCTACCTGTTCAAAAATCAAAACAAAAAGAAAGGAAATTAGATATTTTATGAGAATTTTTAAGTTGAGCAAGTGGTAGCCCCTGTATAGAATTTTTTATAATTCTTGAGTTTGAAGTCATCCCATTCCCTTTTTTTCCCTGAGCTGAGGTTTGACCCAGTCCTTGTCTACCTGTTTAAAAATAATAAAAAAAAAAATTAGATATTTTATGAGAACTTTTAAGTAGAGCAAGTGGTAGCTCCCTGTATAAAATTTTTCATAGGTTTTGAGTTTGAAGTCATCCCACTCCCTTTTCTCTCTGAGCTGGGGTTTGACCCAGTCCTTGTCTATCTGTTCAAAAATCAAAAAAAAAAAAATAGATATTTTATGAGAACTTTTAGGTAGAGCAAGTGGTAGCCCCCTGTATAGAATTTTTCATAGGTTTCAAGTTTGAAGTCATCCCACTCCTTTTTCTCCCTGAGCTGGGGTTTGACCCAGTCCTTGTCTACCTGTTCAAAAATCCAAAAAAAAAAAGGAAATTAGATATTTTATGAGAACTTTTAGGTAGAGCAAGTGGTAGCGCCCTGTATAAAATTTTTCATAGGTTTCGAGTTTGAAGTCATCCCACTCCCTTTTCTCCTTGAGCTGGGGTTTGACCCCGTCCTTGTCTACCTGTTCAAAAATCAAAAAAAAAAAAAAATTAGATATTTTATGAGAACTTTTAGGTAGAGCAAGTGGTAGCCTCTTGTATAGAATTTTTCATAGGTTTCGAGTTTGAAGTTATCCCACTCTCTTTTCTCCCTGAGCTGGGGTTTGACCCAATCCTTGTCTACCTGTTCAAAAATCAAAAAAAAAAAAAAATTAAATATTTTATGAGAACTTTTAGGTAGAGCAAGTGGTAGCCCCCTGTATAGAATTTTTCATAGGTTTCAAGTTTGAAGTCATCCCACTCC